ATTGTATCATTGCTTGAAGGTGAAAATCAGAGCAGCTGGATTAATGTATCTCTAAATTCTCCAAGTATTTTTTCCTCAGCACCTGTCAAAGATATACGAAACAAGAGGAACAATGCAAAAATTGCAGGTAATTCCCAACTGCTTTATTTTAATCAGAATTAGTGCTGGTTCTGTAACATATAATGATTTTCTGGTGGCAAGTATACAGTTTCATTATAATTATTTGAATTTATGTTTACATTTTCACCAACACCAGATCAATTCAAGTAAAGACACAGATATGTCATAAGAATCTTTTTATCTTCAAGATACCTGGTATAATGCCACATGTAAGTTTATGTTTCCTAAATGTTTAGTAAATGCAATTAAGGAAAGAACTGTGGTCCTAACCCAAGTCCATAAATATATATTTAAACAAACATCTAATATTTGAACATTAATTATTAACATGATCATCACGAGGTGATCTTAACTGACGTAGGTATGACTATGGACATCTTTCTAATGATTTAAACAAGGAAACAAGGAAAATTTAAAACTTCATATCCTAAGGAGTGCAGTGGTGGCTCATGCCTGTCATCCTAGTTACTCAGGAGGCAAGGATCAAGAGGATCGTGGTTCAAAGCCAGCCCTGGCAAGTAGTTCATGAGACCCTAAGACCCTATCTTGAAAAAACCCTTCACAGAAAAGGGCTGGTGGAGTGGCTCAACGTGTAGGTTTTGAGTTCAAGTCCCAGTACTGCAAAAAAAAAAAACCCCAAAAAACCAGAAACAAAACAAAAAACTTTATGTCCTTGATACTTCCTTCAGAGAATCTACATTATAATTAATGAGGCTTTCTGTGTTTCTTTCCTCAGCCTTTCTACCTATAAGACATACTAATATTTCAACAAAGAAATCCGTTTTCTTAGATAAGGTAAGGAGATGAAGAGTATATTTATAGGAATAAGTGAAAAGACTGAAACAAAGTATAGAGAGAATACTGGTAGAAAATTTGACAAGATCTTAAAAAGGATCATTACTAGAGTACAAAAACTGAAAACACCAACTGGAGTATCTGGATTGGACACATGGGAGAGAAATGTAAATGCAGAAGTTCCAAGAAGGCTTTGCTATCTTTGTGCATGAGGACTAAAGTGGAGAAGAATTCTACTCCAAGATATACTGTCAGATTCTTAAACTAAGGGAAGTAGTTAACTGATTGTGAAACACTTGTAGTCTTCAGAACAGCAGAATGAAGAATTTTAATAGCCACCTTGGTGGTGTTTTGATTTATGCATTACTAAGTGTTGAAAGAAAAAAAGCAATTTGTGGTAATTTGTTTTAGCTACCTTTGATAAGATAAGGATGATTACAGCATTTCCTGAGCTCCATCATAGTATTGACCAAGTTAGGTACATTAGTTTGTCCTGCTCCTTTGGATAAAAATGAAAAGTTCTTTCTCCAAAATAGCCCTGTAGTATTTCTTTTGTATGTTAGTAAGCTCTACTTCAATGATGGTTTCTTCCTTAGGTGCCAATTTCTTTTCTACATCTTCTTTTAATCGTCTCAACATCATTGGTTTAAGGATAGCCTGAAGTTTCTGCACCTGAATAAAATGTGATACAGACACATACAATATCATTACATATTCAAATCCACATACAAAATAATTACAATGAAAGATTTGATATACTTATATATAATTAGCAATAGGATACCTGTTCCTCTGTTTTTAAGTCTCCAAATTCTTGCATAAATGTTGATTCAGAAGGAAACCTTAAAGGTTCAAGAAAGTGAAGAAGACTGAATAGTTCTTCAACTGTATTTTGGAGAGGAGTGCCAGTCAAAAGCACTTTGTGTTCCTACAGAAAGCAAGAACAATTCACATTAAACACCAAGGCACTTTTGAAAAAGCAAGTATTTTTCTGACTATAATTTTCAAGAATCAACTTAAATACATCTCTACCCAAAATTCTTCAGCAATGTATTTTTCAGTCACAAAACTCTTTATAACCTTCTAATATTTCACTTTCTATACTATGTCTACCTATTCATGCCTAAAATATTCTATTTTTTTAAAAGAACAGTATGTGAGGTGTTCTCAAGGAAATAAGCTTTTAAAAACCAGAAGGATATTTGTCTCTTATTCTTAAACATTACTGGTATGATAATTTGTGTTAATTCTTCATAATGTAGATAACCATGATTTAACTTTTTAGAGAAGAACAAATTATCCAATCATTGCCATTATAATCCACAGGCTCATCAAAATATGCTTCCAAAGCAGAACTGCACTGAAAATTAAACATAATAGTAAAAGAAGAAAATGAAGAGAATATTTTAATAATAGCAGAAATTATCATTTAAAATTTGATTTGACAATACCTTTAAATTCCCAAACTAAGTATTTATACATGCATCTTTATATCTGTACATATACATATGATAGTATATGGTCTGTAAAGATGCCTATGTAACTGTAAATACTGGAGTGAGGAGTCAAACCGGTATTGGCATAGATGGAGAAGGAGTAAAAAGGAGTACTTACCTCAAAAATATAATTTTCATGAAAGAGCTTTTTATTAATGAATTTGTGGCTTCAAACTTATGTTCTTATGATCTCCATACATCTACAAAATTTCTTTTTCTAATTCTTGAAATTTATTACAGAAGTTGGTCATAGAAAACTGATGAGATTATTTTCCTCATACAAATTAAACTATGAATTTTTTTTATTATAGCAGTTTTGAACTCAGGACTTTGTGTTTGCTAGGCAAACTCTCTACCACTTGAGCCTTAAATATATGTAATTTTAAAAATAAGATTTTAGCATTGATTGTCCTTGATCTTTTATTACATAACTAGGAAACTAAATTAAGTCAATATGATGATGATCTCAAGTTACTTACCAGGTTCATGAGCTTCAAACCTTCTAGGAGTTTACAATTTTTATTTTTTAGCCTGTGTGCTTCATCAATAATTACACAACGCCATTCAATTGCATTAAGCTCTCCACAGCCCCCAAGAATCATTTCAAAAGTAGTGATGATGGCCTGGAATCTGTAAGCTCCTCGAATGATGCGTCCCTAGAAATAATCAAAGACAATAAATTGCTAGAATGTCTTAAGTGCACTTTTTATTCCTCTCAAATAGCATAAAAGTTTATCTAGTGACATTTTTTATAAATCATTTTCCACTGAAATTTTTATATGAATCCAGACACCCCCTTACAAGGAGCTTTACCATTAAAACTATATTAGATTGCTGTATTTTCAATAACACTGTCACAAAAGCATGCTAATACATTTATATTACTTAAAATCATAGCCAAATAAATATCACCTAGTAAAATGTGTCAAGAAAAATTCTCAAGCCTTATAAAAACAATTTTGTGTCAATAAAGAAATGAGCATTATAAAAATCTGGCCAATGAAATTTCAATACTAATGCTTATTAATTACACACTTATAATGTCAAATAAAGTAATGAATATCAAAATTAGTCACCTAAATAATTTATTTAGCAAGTATTTATTGGGAGTCTATGGGTAAGACTCTGCGTTAGATGCTGGAAACAGCAGTAAACAAAACACACAATAGTAATTATCCAAGTGGAATTTACATTCCACTGATATCAATGTAGGACAGAGCTAATAAGAAAATAATTTAAGTTAGAAAGCAATAAGGGCTATGACATGAAAGCAATAAGGGCTATGACATAAAAACAAGAATGTGAAATAAAATTATAGGGTAAGATGTGACCACTGCATTGCTACTTATGGTAGTTGGGAGACTACTACTGAGAAGGGATATATGAGCAAAGATCTGAAGATGTTGGAAGAAGCAATGTTGATATTCAGAGATCTGGAGAAGAAAGCACTCTTGGCAAAAATCCTGAATCCAAGGGTCCTAAGTAACAGTATCCTTGATAATATTCAGGAAACAGCAAGAAAGCTAGAGATGTTCAAACATAATAAATGGGGATCAGGCAGACAGTATAGGGACCTAAAAGATGTAATAAGAACTTTGGATTCTACTCTGAGTGAGAAGCTATCAAAGGGATTTGAGAAGATATCTTAAGAGTCCTTTTGGCTACTGTGGTGAAAACAGCCTGAAGAGGCCAAGGACAGGATCATAGAGACAGTTAAAAAGTCATCATAGTCCATGCTAGAAATCATTTGAGGTCTTGAGAAGTCAATTCTGGATAAATTTTGAAGATAGAGTTAACAGGATTTCCAAAGTGGTAGATATGGAGATAAAGACAGGGCTCAAATTTGACTCTAAAAACTTTAGCTTGAACAACTGGAATTTGGTGTTGCTGTATACTACCATGAGGAAGTCCACGATTTTGGTTTTGTACATGTTAAGTTTGAGATATTATTAGATATATCCAAATGTAGTTGTTAAGCAGGAATTTAGATATGACTCCGAAATGTAGGAAAGAATTTAGAGTTGGTGACATAGATTTGGGAGTTTCCAGTAATTTAGATATAATTTAAAATTATGTATATGAGTGAAATCTCTATGGGAATGAGTACAAACATAAAATAGTTTGAAGACTGAGACCTGGGTTACCCCAAATTTAGATAAGGGAAAGATGAGATGGAATTGGGAAAGGAAACTTGAAAAGGAACAGGTGGTGATACAAGACAGCATTAAGTATGGGAATCTAAGTTAAGAGACTGTTTAAATGAGACTGAAAACATAAACTGTGAGGTATTGAAAGAAACAAAAGGTTAAGAATTGGGTATTCTGGTTTAGTTTTTTTAAAATTTATATTAATTGCATATATTAGCTACTAATTTGAATAAGTCCAGTATAATATTAAAATAGGTATAAAGCATAAGGTTATAGAATTTATATAGATAGAAACCTGGGATATAGTCTATTCAGGTAAGTTGCTGTTACAGTGCTTAATAACAAGGACTCAAGTCTGACTGACTTAGGCTTCTTAATCTCAGTTTTGTTTTCTGATTTTAGAACAATCTATCATTTCCTTATGCTTCTTTTTCCTCATGTATAAAGTGAGTATAATACTACCTGTTTTACAAAGTTAACATAATAAAGATTAAGTTAAATGATATATGTAAACTGTTTCGTAGAATGTTTGATAGATGACAAACAATAAATGTTTGTGGTTATAGTATTATTATTTTTGTGACTTCTCCCAGGACAACTAGAACATTTTAGCACATTTTTACCATGAAAGTGATTTTTAAGCTATTCAATAACTTGAAAAAGCAGAAGGAAATATTCAATTTATTTAAAAATATTTGCCAGACAACTCTAAAAATTATTTGTATATTTATAGTATGTATCTATTTTTCATTACATGATATTATTTTCTTTTCAAATTTAAAACCTTTATCTAGCATCTATAACATTTACCATAAAACATAGTATTTTATTAATATAAATGATTTGGTTTATTATATATGAAGAATCTTTCGCTTCTTAGGCTATCATATTTATACTAAACTATGATATATACATTATAACTTTGTTAAAAACCTCTTGGGCTGAGGGCATGGCTCAAGTGGTAAAACATGTGCCTATGAAGCATGAGACCCTGATTTCAAATCCCAGTATAGAAGGAAAAAAAGGTCTTCTGAAGCCTCAAGGTTTTAGTTGTACTTTTTGCAACAAGAAAGATGTCAAAGTAAATCATTTTTATCATAAACATGCTATAAATGTATGATGAAGAGTAAGAAAACACCATGTGAGAGAATCAAATTATAATCTAACATGTCATAGATTCCAAAGGTCCAAAGGTGGCAGTTTTCATTAGAGGTAAGGAATGATTAAAGGATTCTAGAGATGCTTCATTTTGTACACATGCAGTTGTTTCAACCTTGGAAACAGGAGGGAAAACGAGGTCAAAGGAACAAAATCAGTTGAATCATTGTTAGTGTCAAAGAGGTAGAAAGGCAGGTATAATTATTAGGCAAAAGTAGAAAGCTATGCACATTGCTTTACTTCAACTTCTAACATATCACCTTACCTTGTCATATGTTACAGTGATACTTTTAGAATAGAGAAATAATAAGTAAAAGAAAGTAAGATAGCCAGACAATAAGCTTTTTCCAATCAAAGAGTACAATTTGGTGTGAACTGATTTTTTAATTTTGTTTCTTAGCTTTTATATCTTAGTCTTAGCCATTTTGGGGGGGCAGTACTGGGGTTTGAACTGAGGGCTTTGCACTTTGCTAGGCAGGCACTCTACCACTTGAGCCATGCCTCCAGCCCCTTGTTTCTTATTTTTTAATGAAGATATTTATCTAAAAAGGTTCATAGTAACATTCAAGACTGTAATTTGGAACTTTGCATTTTCTAGTCTTAAACATCCTATAATCTATTTTATAACCTCCCTCCCTCCCTCCTCCCCTTCCTCCCTCCTGCTGGGAATCCTTGTACATGTAAGGCACTCTGCCACTGAGCAATGATCCCAGCTCACAACTCAAAAAATTTAAAAAGTCTAAAATAAAAATACATTTAACAGAAGAGAACTTACAGTCTCACTTCAATAAGCACTGAAACCTGAGTTTACTGAAGATTAAAAGTTAAAAATGGGAAAAAAAGAAAACGAGGAGATGATCAAAGAGACTGTTATTTCCATAAAAAATTAATGTGTAATAAAAATAAGTAAAATATAATTGCTCTAGCCAAAAAATTAAAGATTACAATCAAATCTGTGCATTCATATGAATCAACATACTTTGTTAGAATAGAGAATCAGAGTATTAAACTGATTTTAGCCATTGTTCTTTTCAGGCACTAAAATTTATTGTAATGTAAGTATGATGACTAAAAGAGCTTAACCTAAGATTAAAGTAGACAATTAACATGTATTCTAAATTTGAAAATAGTTGGTATGCAAAGCTTATCATTTTCAGCCCTGATCTTTTAAACAAGCAACATCATTAATACCACACCTGTGAATCCCTGAAGTACATCTCATATTGCTGTATCATCTGTCTGCTAATCAGGCTCCCATGATAAACCACAACATTAATATCAGTCCATGTACGAAATTCTCTCTCCCAGTTTGCAATGGTGGAAAGTGGTGCAATAATCAGGAAAGGTCCTCTTATACCAGCCAGAAGGATTTCGTAGAGGAATGTAATTGATTGAATAGTTTTCCCAAGACCCATTTCATCTGCTAAAATGCAGTTTCGTCTGAAATAAACAAATATAGTACGCATGTATACAGTTGGTTTTTATGTATACTACAATTTTTAAGCATAAATATACAAAAATAAGCAAAGATCCAATTAAAATACTTGCATTTATAAAAACATAAAACTTGCTGAAGTGCAGAGTAAGCTCAAGATTACAAATTTATTATAATCCTGCAAAGGGAAAACTAAAGATTTTTGTAGCCCCAAATAAGGATATCATCCATTAAATGTTTGATTTTTTTTAAAAAAGAGTAAAAAGGCAAGAGCAAGACAAATTAAATATTTATTCAGGAAGCATTTATTAAATACCTTCTATTATCTCAGGACAGTATGAGAAGATGGGATACAAAAGAAATAGAACATGTTCTCTGCCTTCCAGGGACTTGTATCTATTAGAGAAGCAGACATGCAAATACATAAATAGTCATGCAATGTGCTACTGTAGAAGCACAAATATAGCACTGGTTTTCAACCTTGGCTGAGCATTAGAAGAGTCTACAACAGAAAACCACAGATCCCTCCCCTATATACTGATTCAATGTATATGGAGTAAGATCAAATCAAATGCAATTTAAAAAATAAGCTCCACAGATGATTATGATATGTGGCCAGTGAAGAATAATCAGAGTAAAATTGATTATGATTGCTCAGAAGACTATGCAACAAACTGGTTAGAACACATGAAAGAAGAACATTAGAAAAGCTCAGTTATAAGTCGGATTTTGCCACAGAGTAAAGCAAAGATTCTCAATTATAAAAAAATATGACCAACTGGGGGACCAAAAGTTTGTATAATATGGCTAACAGGAATGTGAAGGGAAAAGAGGTTAATAAGGTAAGTAGAGGTCATAAATAGAAGAGATCAGACATCATTCTTAAATATAATGAGAGACACTATAAAATCTTTTTTAAAAACACAATAAAGTTAGATTTTTATTTTAAGATTCATTCTGGCACCACTGTGGAAAGTAGAGGGTGACATGACTAGAAGTTTGGACACTTAATTGTCAAAAGTACAGTAATAGTGCGGGGAAGAAAATGTGGGCATGTGGACTAAAGGAGAAGCCAGGAGGACCGAACTGATGCCAGAGTTAATTATGAGTTAAAATGAACTGGACAACTAAATGTATAGGGTATGGGATGATAGTCTGATTTTACTTTGGGTGACTAAATGAATTGTGTTGTTTTAAACAAGATAGAAAATATGGAGGAAAAGGGAAATGGTAAGACTAATTTTTGAACTGACTATCTGTAAAGAATTATTGAGTTAAGACACTCAAATAGCAAAAGGCAAAAAGAAATATGGGCCCAGAGTAAAAGATCTTAGAGATAAAAGTATAGGACCATTAAAAGTATTATTGGTAAGTAAAGGTAAGGGTGGTGGGTGGGGTGTAGAGCATTCATGAGTAATCTGAGAAGAGAACAGAGGACAAAACCTGGGGCAAGATAGTAATAATAATAAGAGGAGGAAGAAGAAGAACGAGAACAACAACAATAGTAACAACAGTAGCAACATTTCAATGAAGAGGAGTTTGCAGACTATTGAAAGTAACAGAAGTACTATAGACCTGGAAGCTTTTAAAGAGTTTAGGATGGGTAGAAAGTTTAAAGAAGGACGCAGCGGCAATTTCTTTCCAATACAGCAGAGAATAAATTAGGGCTATAGAATATTCTGCAGGCTGAAAAATTAAGTTTCCAAAAATGTTCAGAAAAAAATCCAGACTGCTACAAGTTTAAAAGAGAACTGGAAATGAGAAAATGGGGAGAGCTAGTACAGGCCACTCTACCTAAAAATTTGCCTAGGAACTTAGAAAGATAGCTCAAAAAGCCGTGGAATGAAAAGTATGTTTATAGTTTTCTATTTTCTTTTCATATAGGTTAACCCCAAATTTGCTCATAGATGAAAGAGATAGCAGCAATCTTCAGGGGTAGCTTGAAGACATAAAAGAATAACTGATTGAAGTGAAACTCAGAAGACTGGATGAAACAACATATTAAGAGTTTGAGGAAGCAGCTGGGCACTGATGGCTCATGTCTATAATCCCAGCTACTTCAGAGGCTGAGGTTGGGAGGATTGCTGTTTGAGGCCAGCCTGGGAAAATAACTCCCAAGACCCCATCTTCAAAATAATCAGAGTAAAATGAATTAGAGGTATGGCTCATGTGGAGGTGTTCCTCAAAGTGTACTTTGCAAGCAGGAAGCTGTGAGTTCAAACCACAGTCCCACCAAAAACAGACATACAAAGAGTTGAGGAAGGGTGCTGGAGGTATGGCTCAAGCAGTAGAACACATGCCTAGCAAATGTGAAGACCTAAGTTAAAACCCCAGTACTGCCACCCTCCCAGCAAAAAAAAAAAAAAAGAGTTGAGGAAGGGGCTTGGGATGCAGCTCAGTGGTAGAGTTGCTTGCTTAGCATGTACAAGGGCCTAGATTTGATCCACAGCACGCAAGAAAAGTAAAAATAGAGGTGGCATGATTAATACTGGTCTTGGGGAAGGATTTTTAAACTTCTGCCAGGAGAGGTTAGAAGTAAAACTGGTTATGAATGGAGATATATCTATAGGCTTAGATATAAAGGTAGGCAAGAAGAATCTGAAACATAGAGTTCTTGGGTTTCTCTAAAGCAATCATAGTGTGTGTGAAGCAGATATGGTTCTGATAAAGGGCCTGACGTTATATGATATAAGTTTAAAATAGCAATGTAGGAAAAGGGTTCTAATGAGGTAAGAAAAGTTTAAAAAAAAAGCTCTGTTATTTATTTTACATAGATGATTTTCTTGGGAAAAATGATGATTAATATTTAGAAAATATAAACCAGGGAAACAGCACTGTGTGGGCAAATAGGTCATTCTCACTCCATCTAACTGAGTCACATGACTCACTATAAGTGAGAAGGAAAAACAGAAAACTGTGAAGTATCAACAAATATTGCTATCATTACTAGTAATAGTGCTTTCATTTGCTCTTTTACATATTATGCTATGCTCCTTTTTCAATTATGTGAACATTTTTTTTGCTTCTTTTGAAATTATCTTTTCCTTCCAATGAAGAACTTGAGATATATCCTATACAGCATTTTGAACAACTTGGAAAACGAAGGGGCTGTTAGGTTTCCATACTTTCATATTCTACTCCATCTTAATTGCTGACAACCTACTTCAGTGGAGACCCACATTAAATAACAGAGATCTAAACTGAACTTAGTGGTACACACCTGTAATCCCAGAACTCAGAAAATGGAGGTAGAAGGATCACAAATTTGAGGCCAGTCTGGACTACATATATATAAAAAAAAAAAAAAAACTAAAAGAAATCTAATTCCGACAGATGTAACGTGCTCAAAGCTCACTAAATAGAAACAAGTATTGATAAAAATTAGCATATGTTGAAAGCTGAAAATCATCCTGTAACATAGCAGATGTTTTAGGACTCTAGGAAAGTTATTTCAAATTCAATTACTCATCAACACAATTCTGATAAATACACATTTAAAAGAGGCAAATGTAGCTAACATCTTAAATTGTGATTAGCATATTTTTCTGAGGTAACGTCACTTTAAATAATGAAGATGTAACAACATAGCAACATCAGTGTCTTAATATCTTTGGTACATATTAAAAAAATTAACACACTAAAATTTTTCTGTTAAGATATACTGCATACCTATTATACCAATTGAACAAGAGCCAGTTGAGTCCTTCTAGTTGATATTCCCTGAGTTGATTGCCATTTTTATAGTCTCTGGATTGATCTATTTTTTTCCAAATATTAGAGGGAGGACGGTCCTTTGTGGGAGAAAGAAGAAAAAAAAGAATGAATGATGCATATCAGATGTTTTAAATCTTCCATACAACATATTCATGGCAAAAAGAATTACTTTTAAAATATCCTAGAAGCCTAGCAGTGTACAATATTATGATGAAATTTTACCTAATATTTAAAAATCAAATTAATTCTATACCAACTCTTCCAGAAAATGAAAGAGGAAGTCTTACTTCCCAACTCACTCTCTTTGCTTGTTTGTTGGTACTAGGATTTGATCTCAGGGCCTCATATTTACTAGACAGGCACTCTTACCACTCGAGACACACCAACCATCTCTCTTCTGAACTCATTTTATGAAGCTCCAATATCCAATTCAGGCAACCACATTTCATGAAAAAAAAACCACTGACCAATATCTCTCATGAACAGAGATGTAAAAATTCTGATGTATTCTACCCACCCCCAAAAAGGGACAATATATCATGACCAACAAGGGTTTTTACCAGGAAAGTAAGGTAGTTTTAAAATTGAAAACCAATCAACGTTGATGAACATACTTAAAAAACAAGCAAAGATAAACTCAGCAGATATAGAAAACATACCTGAAAAATTCATTTTCCATTACTAACTTAAAAAAAAACAACTATCAAATTGTGAATATAAGAGAACTCCTTCAATCTCTTAAGGGATATCTCTGAAAATGTCAAAGCCAACATCAAACTTAAAGGTGAAAGATTCAATACTTTCCCCCTAAGATCAAGAATAAGGCAAAAATATTCACTGTGATCATTTATATTCGATATTGTATTGAAGGCTCTAGCAAGTATAATCAAATATAAAAAAAAGAGATTAAAGTCATCAAGATTGAAAAGGAAGTACTAAAATTGTTTGTATTCATAGAAGACATGATTTGTCCATGTAGAAATTACTGTGGAATCTATAAAAAAGCTAAACTAAGTTGCTACTTTGGTAATGTTACATAATAAAGGATAAATATACAAAAGTCTATTGTATTCTATATTGTAATAACATTCATGAATAAATTTCTTTAAAAAACTACACATTTTATAAGTGCAGCTAAATATACAATATTTTAGGAATAACTCAGACAAAAATTATCTAAGACCAATAAAATTAAAACTATGAAACACTGCTAAGAAAAAACAGTTAAATAAATTTAGAAATATACTACATTCACAGATTAAAAGATTCAACCCTGTTAATTTATTAATTTTTCCCAAATTGAACAATAGATTCAACAAAATCCATCCTAAATCCTCAGCAATAAAAAGCCTCTATTGTGAATTTTTTCTGAAGGGCTAAAATACAAACTGGAGTTGATGGATAGGTGAAGAAACACAATTATTCTAGCCCCAAATTAATAGGGTCTAGGTTTCATAGGATAAATAGGTTTCTGACAAATAAGCAAAAGACATTGAGAACTAAACATTATATATGGTTACTAATAAACAAAATTATACCTCTAAAAACTGTCAGGATGATCAGGGTATATAAATAATGATTAATTATAAATTAAAAAAAACAAATACACTATTAGTATCAGTACTGAAAACAACTGGTTATGGAAGCTTTGCTGCTACCTAATACTATCAGAGTTTACTAATGAAAACCTTTCTTTCTTTTTTTTGGTGGTGCTGGGGAATGGAACCCAGGGAATTTATTTTTTGGCAGTACCAGGGTTTGACCTTGGGCTTTGTACTTGCAAGGGAGGCACTCTACTGCTCAGCCACGCCTCCTCAAATTTGAGAGAACAAGACAAAACATTTAGTAAACCTTTAACATGTTTACTCAGTGTGAATTTCTTTTAGTTGGTTCCTCAAACTGAATTCATATAGTAACAATTCTATGTAATTTCCCATAAAGTTCTAGAATTCTATGGCTTTTGTACTATAAAAATTAAATTACATATGAGTTATGTGAATTTTGGTAGGAGGAGATAGGCAATTAGTCAATAAGAAATCAGTACACCTAACTTATGTAGGTCTTAAACAGTATTTTTTATAAAAGGTTATTCTAAGTCATTACTAGGGACTGGTACAATGTGGGGGAACAAAAGTGATGGACATGACCAATTCACAATGTATGAATATATGGAAATCTGATAGTAAATCCCACTATTCCATACAATAAAAAATTTAAAAAGGTTCTTTTGGAGGGTGGGGGGGGCGGCGGGCACGGCTCCAGTGGTAGAGCATTTACCTAGCAAGCGGAAGGCCCTGAGTTCAAACGCCAGCACACTCAAACAAAACAACAAAAAGTTCTTCTAAAAATAAAGCTATGGAAGAAGATAAACTATACAGTTATGGAGAAATAACTCGATTACAGAAAATAATGAAAATGAATGCATAAAATAGACTTTTCATTTAGTAGAGAATCAATAACTCTAGACCAGAATGACAACTGATACTGGAATTTATATAATTGAGAGATAGTAAGAACCTTTATCAGTGATGAGGAACGACTATTCCGGGAGAAATTAGAAGAAAATTCTTATCCAAATTTTGGATGCATATACACTCTGACTAAGCAATTATACTTCTAATTTATCTTACAGAAACTGTACATGGGCTTAATATTAAATGCAGTACTGTTTGTAATAGCAAAAGATGGAAATGGAAGAATAGTTAAATTAACATATGTATGACATTATAATGGAGCTATGAGTTTAATTCTGAGCACCACACACATACACTTGGAAAAAAATTGTAGTTGACATTCAACTTACTAAGTAAAGTGCTACAATTTGATGAAGCTACGAAAGGTTCTTACCAAATGCCTTGGGTCAGGCCTTGAAGCTTGTAATTGTTCAAACTCTTCTATTTTTGCAAGATCTACATCTTCTTTTAATTCCCATGTACTATCTTCATATGGCAATGAGCACCACTTTACTAAGTAGTAAATAACAGGCTATAAAAAAATTGTTTTGGAAAGACAGAATAGTAAGTAGTTTATAATAGCTATGAACAGTTTAAATATACGAATCTAGGTCAATTAAAAAAATGAATCTTTTTTAGTATTTTAAGTTTAATAAAGAGTACTATGTTTGAATATTTGGAAAGTTTTAGTTTTTTTGTACCTAAGAAATATTTCCACCAAATATTTACCTCACCAGTATCCTTATCTTCACAAAAAGAGACTTCTAACACTCTGTCTACTTCAACGTAGTCTGGGTTAAATGGTTCTTCCTCCATCTAAAATTAAAAAGTAACTTAATTGAAATCTGACAAAGAAGCTGAAAGACAGAAGTAATAAATCACTAGTGTCTCATGATAGAACAAACATATCATTTGATTCCAATTAAACTTCTAATAAATGGAATTCTTCCAGTTTAATTTCCAAAAGTTTTTTAGGATATTATGAACCACCTTTTTATAAAGAAAACCACTTAATAGCACTAAAAAAAGAAAAAAAAAGTATTTGAGACAATTAAGTTTCTCTAGGAGATGTGTTTAAAAATTTCCTAAGTAGTCTCTACAAATTTCCTTTGCTTACGTTGCTCAGGTTACAAGAGCTGAAGACCAATCACCCTACCTGTAGGCTGTTTTCAGTTGTATCAAATACTCTTCAGCTTATGTGATGGTTCTGTGCTCAAGACCCAGTAATGTAGCTAAAACAGAATTTTCTACTTGAGCTACCTCAAACTCAACTGCTCTCACACTTACTCTACAATCTAGACTTCTTCTATATTTTCTACCTGGGGAAATGGAAACACAGCTCCCTTTCCATGCAGCACAGTCAGTTATATAAGCCAAAAATCTTACAGTCCTTCTATTTCACACACCCCAATCTTATAAATCACTAATGTGTACATCCTACTTTTTTGTGTGAGACAGGGTCCTATTATGTTTCCCAGGCTGAGCTTGAAGTCAAGATCTTCCTACTGCAGACTTTCAAGTAACTGGGTTTACAATTGTGCTCAATTTGTTTCTGATTTCATGCAAATTCTACTTTTTCTTTTTTTGGTGGTTGTGTTAGGGATCAAACCCAGGGCCTTGCAAGTTGGTACACAACTGCTCCAGCACTGAGTAGCTCTCCAGCCTAGATTCTACTTTTAACTATAACTTTGGTTCCTTCTCCCTCATTCTCACTACCTTATCCCTTCTTATGGGACTTTTATAAATACCTCCTAATTTGCATCCCCATCTATTGTCTTGTCTTCCTTCAATCTGTTTTTCACATTGTCCCCAGAGTAATCTTTCTCAAACACAAATTTGAGATATTGCTTCTTTGCTTAAGATTCTTCAATTCTCCTTATCTGTTTATTTTGTGGAATAAACAGATAATCCTTCCCTTTCCTCCAGCCTTATCTCCTGCTTCCTATGACATTAACCCAGATTCCATGCTCCAGAAGTAGAAAACCATGTTTTCTGAAACTTAAATGTCCTGTCATAGATTTATGTTTTTATTCTTTTTCTTCTTTCTTCTGACTAACCTGCTGTTCTTTCTCTTGTCAGCTGGGGCTTTTCCTACTCACCAGACCATTTATGATGCTTTCACATATAAGTAGGAAATGTCCCAGCTGAATAAAAGAATTTTTCTAGTTCCTTTTCTGTTCTTTTCTCTCTCTGGCAGTACTGGAGTTTGAACTCTGGACCCCATGCTTGCTAGGCAGATGGTCCACCACTTAACAGCCAAGGCTGATGGCACAAGCAATATATTTCATGTGCTGAAAATTTTATTTTCCATTTATTTGCTATATTATCATTTTCTTTACATGAATAACATGGAACACACATCCCCATTCACCTCTAAGTATTAAAATACATGCCAATTAAAAATAAAAACATTATCTACCATTCTGAGTTATCAGTACTCTTGTTTTAGCTAGTTTCCAAGCTAATTTTGGGAAGACAAAAAGCACTGTATATAGATAGCAATTATATTCAAATATTACCACTGGAGGTCTAAGAAAATAATACTTAAATTTTGATAAATAATATAGTGTAAGTGTTCAGAGTCCAAAACATAATAGTCCATTTTTTTCTTACATCTGCAAAAAAGTGTGCTCTTTGTGCTTGTCTCAATTTGAATCGTTTGATTTTCTGCTGGATCCTTTTATCTTTCAAAAGCTGCTGTTCTGTGGCCCATTCACAGTGAAGATAGGAGCTAAAATTTTTATGAAAGGAATAGATTAGTATGATACAGAAAACAACATTGTACAAGATATATTTTTAATTATAACTTCTAATATGAAATATTACCTTCAACTTTAGAAATAAGTAGTTCACTTCTTCAATTTTAATAGATTTCATATAATTCTAAAATGAAGCCATTGTGATTTCTGTATCCTAAGAACACTGTAGTCTAAAGCTCTACAATTTGTCATATAGAAGCAAAATGGTAAACTGACTGCAAGTTTAACAGCAGTGATTTAACTTTTATTTTTTTGAATATAATGATTTTGTCCTTACCAGAAAGCTAATTTATTCTACAAACAATACAACCAAAGTACAGCAAAATATTAGAAAATGTAGAAAAAGACAAATGTTTCCTCACAACTAGCAACTATGAGTTAATATACCTATAGCCATAATTGAAATGAAAACTTTGAAAATCATCAATTTTGTACATCTGACTTAATAATCTACAGATTTAATTTACAAAAAAGAGTAAGACTGTAAAAGTTCAACATATAATACAATGAATAATGTCTTTAATTTTGAAGATTCCTGTATTTTGACATTAAATTTCAGGAAAAAAAATCCATTCAATTTGAACATGAGAGGTTTTCAAAAAGCCTTTTCATTTTTTAATGAGTTTTAAGTTAATCAATTATAAATAATTATAAAAAACAGTCGGACATCGATGGCTCACATCTGTAATCTGAGCTACTCAGGAGACAGAGATTAGGAGGATCACGGTTTGAAGATGCCCGGGCAAACAGTTCTCCAGACCCTACCTCAAAGAAATCCTCACAAAAAAGGAGCGGTGGAGTGGCTCAAGGTGTAGGCCCTGAGTTCAAACCCCAACACCACAACTAAGTAGATAAATAAATAATACAGATGAAGATTAGATGAAGATCTAATTAATTTTAACTCACATATTACATACTAAATACATTAATTTATACTCAACAAAACATTTTTAACTCAAATACTTACTAATTTTTGTATTTCACAAAAAATTCTTCTGTATCAATTGTCACTCCAGATGATATCTACAAAAATAAAATTAGTAATTGTGACTGAAACAGGACACAGAATAGAAAGTGTCAAGTACAATGTGCCATTACTTACTTCCTTTTTTACAATTCTAGATGATAGTATTTTGTCTACAATCGCAGCATCTTCTTCACTCGGATTCTCCTATGTGAATGAGGAGAAAAATATATGATGGAACATTCTCTACAAAATCTTTAACAAACATTAACTTAGCACACGTGCTGAGCACTATGTTAAATGTTAGAATTACAAAAAAAAGAGTGGAAACATTTTATCATTGTTATTTTCCTCGTCATCATCTGCATCACCATCATCATATACTGAACCATACTGTGCCTTCAGTGTGTGCTTATTAACTAACTTATTCTATTATCATTTTCATTATTACCTCCATTGTTATCTTTACTATACAAGTTAGGAAACTCAGGCAAAGACAGGATTAGTACTTGACCTAGGTTTCAGCTTAAGTCACTCAGCTAATCAATGAGTGCTTGGCTGACAATACAGAAAAGAGAAAAAGAATTACAGAAGACAGAACTGCATATGCCAAGGCACACAGGTGTCAAAACATGTCATTCCATTAACTATGGTCATAAGTATAGGACAAGTGGCAGGAGATGAAGCCAGAAAAATGCAGACAAAGGGCTTTCTTTACACACTGTGCTAAAAGTAAGGCATTAATACTTAAGATTTAGGAGACAGTATTAGAGGAGATTTTCAGTAGAAAAGTAGTATGATTAGACTTACAATTTAGAAATACATGGCAAAGGATATAGTATGGAAGAGTTTCAGATATACGTATTACAAACTAGAAAATGTGTTGACAAATTAGATAGGAAGGTCCAGAAAAACAAGGTATAAATTTCCTACAATATTAAAGAATTTATATTAACAAAATGTATTTTAGTTATAATCCCAATTACATCTTACCACAAATAATTGTAAAGGCTGTTCACCAGGTAAAGGAGCTGAATTCTTTTTTATTTTCATAGAGCCTTTAACCTCTTCTTCAGATTGTTTTCCTTCCGCATCTTCTGCATATTTTTTTCTTTTAACTTGTCGATTTGATCTTCTCTTCTGTAATAAACAAGGTTTACATTTATATAAGTTATTTTTTTAAATAACTTAAAATCCTCATAACAAAGGTTTAAAAAAAAGATTACTCCTAAAGTTGGTTATCTTTTACAGTAAATTTTCAAAATTAAATTTAACACCAATCTTTTAGAAGTTTTCTTTTTAATTAGTAGAAGATTGTTATTTGCCCACTGCCACAGGTTTACAATCTTCCTAAAGGTTTACTTTCCCACAATTTTAAATATCAAAGATTAGCAATACCTTTATTAATTTTCTTTAGAATTTTTTATAATTAAGGTTTATCACTTTTTAAAAAACTACTTCATAGCTTGGGCAAAATATATTTATTAGTAATACCTTTATTGTTGTAATGGTTTTCTATAAAAACTGTTAAGAAGATTGAAAGGTTACCTGTATTATTTAAATATTTCAAACCTTGGACTATACATATTTAAACTATAAATACTTTTATTTTTTTTCACCCAAACTTAAAATGTATACCAGATGAATACTGATTCAGTAATTAATTGGGTACATAAATCTAAAAGAAATTAAATAGCATTTGCCAAAATGTGAAAATGTTTATAATAGAATAAAATAATAGTGTTTTAAAAGAAATTCATAAAATAATTAAATCTACCAAATTAAATTTAAATGAAGGAAGAGTGCTTCACTAACTTTCCTAAAAAATTGCTCTCATAAAATTCATTTTAAATAATCTAAGTAATTTTAGATCAGTAATTGTACATATATGGTTTTACTTACCTCCCTAAATATCTAATATTTATTTTGAAACTTTTCTATTTCAAAGAGAATTTATTTAAAGTTGCATATCTTTTGACGTTCTTACTAAAATATGAAAAGCTCAAGTTGGTTTTTTACTTCTGTACAATCTCACAGGTTGGAGGCATCTCACCCAACTATTCTATTGCTCAATATTTGGTAAACCTATCCCTTCTTCCTTTTTCTATTCCATTTTCTTCTAACTATTGAATATATCCATAAGACTCCACAAATGGAGCCAGAAAAATAACGTGTTCTTCTTTAGATTTCTGCCAATGCCTTCTACATGGCACATCTTTCATTATTTCCACAGCCACAATGAAACTGGTTGAGTATATATAGTAGTATGGGGGCAAACTGTCATTTATATCTACTAAGGTTGCAGTAGTGGCCTTTGTAATATATGTCTCTACTCCTTTCTCTTATGATAAGTGTAATGCTAGGAGAAAGGCAATATATGATCCACCAAATATAGTAGATAATTCCATGCCTCTTTGAGGATAGGTCACCATTTGGGTGGGCATGGAGAGGGGTGGGGGGAGGTGTATGGGTGGGATGGGGGGAGGTGTATGGGTGTGCTGGGGATCAAACCCAGGGCTTCACAATGCTAGGAAAGCACTCTACCACTGGCTTATATAACCCCCAGCCTCCAAATTTTTTTTTTTTGTATTATTTCTTTTTTTTGCTTTATGGTGAATCACCATCTACTGGCCATGAAGACATACTGATTTTCAAACATCAAAATAACACTTCTGTTAATAAAGAGATAGAAAGGAAGCATATAATTACTAAAAAAAAAAAAAAAGACCTACAAGAAACTCAAATTTCCTACATACTATATTGAAAAATATACGAAATATTTATTGTTGGAGAGGATAATGTGGATCTAGGCTAAAAGATTACTTAGAACTCTATTATGGGCATCATATAGCTCTTAATGTTCAAGAATGGCTTGAATTAATAATCAACTGTAACATTAATTTAACAACAATTGTGAATGTCTCATTATGCATGACTTTTTTTTTTTTAGCTATACTGGGGTTTGAGCTCAGGCGTTTGTACTTGCTAGGCCAGGTACCCTACTGCTTGAGCCACTCCTCTAAGCCTGGCATTACTTCTAAATAATGAAGTCTGAGGAGAAGAATTCAGTACATTTTTAGAAGAGTCTGTTATATGTTTTCAGTTTATATGTTTATAGTTTCTTTTCTGGTTACTTAGGTATCTGTTGGTACTTTGAAATGCCTCATTTGATCTTTAGCAAATAATAAATGGGAAAAAAAATTCTTCAAACTCACGAAGTACACTCAGGTAACTCTTCAAAAGACAGAATGAGGGCCACTAACTAATCCATTGCTCCTCATGCTGTGAGGACTTCATTAGCCTAATTGGTTAATTTTAAAAAAGTCCACGGATTAAGAGGCTACAACTGATTTCATCATAAATTATATTCCACTACAATATACAATAAAACATCAGGCAAAACCAAATAAGGTGTCATTCTCACCAATAATCTTCCTCTCATATACAGTTATCTTTACTAGTTTAAAAATGTAAAAATGACTTTGACATCCACGTATTTGGCTAATGTCCTTTTTTTCTTCATAATGTTTTTCAAAACACAATTAAGAAATAGTGACAAGTTCTCTCTCCTCGTTTCTTATTCAGAGCTTTCTTCTTATGTCTGAAAGGCTTCAACAGATTAGCTAACAGCAAAATTATGCTTCTAAGTGACTAATACTTTGTCAAATGACTTGTTTCCTATAATGACCTTAATATAATCTGCTGCAGAGGCATTAAAAAAAAATTAGGTCTTTAAGTACACTCTAATTACTGAAGTACTACTAAGATTAAAAGTAAAAAAATTAAATACCATATTCACAATTCTAATTTGCCCTTCATGCCAAAGCTTAATTCAGTTTCAAAAGCTCAAATCATGACAATCCATTGTTGTCACTGAAAACTACATGGATCTTTCCATCACTTCTATAACAACACAATCAAATACATTAATAATAGACTTATAATTATTAAATAATACACCCCCCCCTTTTTGTTTTATTAAAGGAACACACTGTCAAAGCATCCTAAACACTAGAGTGAAAAGAAGGAAGAACTACACATGTGAACCTATACTAGCATTTCAATGTTTGGTAATTACATAATGGAAACATGGCCAGCATTATCCTAGTAAAAATTAAACTAAATTTTCTCATATTAAATAATTAAAGTTTGCCTATGTTAAGGACAACATATGAAGAAAGAGCCAGGCCATATAATATTAGGAGCTTCGATCACTGCCCTTACCTCAACTGTTGCAGCAGCCCAGGAGCCTTGAGCCACTACTCTCCCATTGGATAAGAAGCTGCATAAGGAAGAAGAAAGGCCATTCAGGGGCTTTCTGGCCCCATAATTCAACAACTGCCACCACCCCTATGGCCTATAGTAGTATTTTAAAATATCAGAAAGCAGAGGGTGGCCTGAATTATTATGACCTTCACTATATTTTAATTTCACAGAGTTACTTTGAAAATCCAAATATCTTACTTATGTATTTATTTATGGGACTTGGGTTTGAACTCAGTGCTTCATATTTGCAAAGCAGGCACTCTACTGCTTGAGTCACACCTCCAGTCCACTTTGCTCTGGTTATTTTGGAGAATAGTCTCACTAACTATTTCCCCAGGTTGGCCTTAAACTGTGATCCTCCTTATCTCAGCCTCCCAAGTAGCTAGGATTACAGGTGTGAGCCACCATCACCTGGATTTTTTTGTTTGTTTGTTTAAAGACAAAATGTACAATATTTTTCTCTGTTAAGAGGATTTTTAATATCAGTTAACTTTTCTTCAACAGAAGCAGACTGAAGGAATAGTCTCTAAGAATGATCCAATCCATTTGTTTTGTCATTTGCATATGATTTTTGAATTAACATCTCCATCATTAACTCTATCATCAAGTTTATTCAAAGGCACTCCAGAAGTATAGAATAGTATCACTAGATACTTCTCCGTTTTAAAAGCCATCGAGGACTTTGTATTGTGACTTAGCCTCTCATGGTTTCAGTTTCATTACTTAAGAAATGAGTTTAGAGAGAACATGTTTCCTCCGATATCTAATATTCAATGGTAATACTACTAGAAGCATATTGTAATAATGCTGTCTTATAATTTCTACCACATAATAAAATGTTTTTTACTACTAAACTACGGTGTGAATATACAGGAGGCAACATTATGCTACCTAAATAATTCAACAGTGTTTCATTTCTCAGAAGAAAATGTAATACTCACTTGAGAGTCTTGATCTTTGAATGTATGCTGTGTCATCTGCTCTGCATCAGATATTTCATCTGAAGACTCATTCTTTCTTTTTTGTTTCTTACCCAATGTAATAATGAGTTTGCTGTTTTGAGAGGAAAAGAATAATCACCATAAGGAGGAGACTAAGGTAGAAAGAAGAAAAACAGAGATGAACCAATTCGGGTTATAATACACATATACAAGGAAACTTCCTGTATAGCTATCTCTCTCTCTCTCTCTCTCTCTCACACACACACACACACACACACACACACGTCACTTTTTTTTTCTTTTACAAAATCAGGTAACAGGAGGGCAGATTAGGTTCTTTCTGGGGAGCTGGTACCAGCAGGAGAGGGAAGTATGTGGGGAATGGGTGTAGGAGGGTAAAAATGGTGCGAATACTGTATATATATGTATGTAAAGGGAAAAATGAGGCCTGCTGAATCTATTCCAGGAATGGGGGGAGGAGGGATAAAGAATGATGGAAGGGGTGAATTCAAGTATGATATATTTGATATATTGTAAGAACTTTAGTAAATGCCACAACGTATCCCCAGTACAATAAAAATGAATGAATGCATGAATAAATAGAAAAAAAGAATAATCATTAACAAATCTGTATTTTTCTACTTTTGGTCAAATTATGCTTGCCATCATAAACTTTCTTCCATTTTATATCACTTATGTCTAACCAAAGATGATAATTATCCTGAAATCCATGATGACATTTTCAAAATCCATCACAATATGCATTGAACACAAACTAACACATTAAAAACATTTCCATAAAGTTAATGTATTTCTAAGCACAGGAAGTCAAGTCTTATTATTTACTTTTTAGGCTTGAGAAGAAAAATTTTAAGTGACATAACTATTTATAAAATAAAAATAATTCATTTATTATTGTATAAAGTTGGAGTAAGGAACTTTTGCCTTCTACCCCATATTAAATTAAAATTCTACTTCTTGTCCTTGAATACCCCTACTCCCTAGAAGCCTCTATTTCTTTCCACCCTATAGTAATTTGACCCTTACTTCAGACAATTTATCAATTAATTGTTTTTTAATACTTTCATTTATGTCAAGCCTATCTTAACCTATATCATATGTACCTAAGAATAAGAAATATTTTTATTTTTCAACAGTATGCATTTCATTATATATATATATATATGTTTGCATACGTCAGTATTTATATGTCAAATATGTACAGCTGAACTACAAGTATCCCTTTTCCTGGATGTGAAATAAGTACAGAACTCCCACATTTCCTTATCTGCCTCAAGAGCACTATTATTAAGCACCATGCTAATTACTAGTTGGCAAATATTTTATCTATTTTAAATATTTTATATTTATATATTTAAATATCTAGCTCAAATTTTTTTACTATTTTAAGTTCTATATTCCAAAAGCTAAAAACTTCCCAAATATTTTCAGGCATGGTATATCAGAAAGACATCAGAAGACTTTTAACAACTATTTACTAATCTGGGAGAACTTGGCGCTAAGAGCTTGTACTTTGAACTGGGGTGTAGCTGAGTGGTAAAGCACCTGCCTACCATGTCTGCAAGGCCCTGGATTTGATCTCCAGCACTGCTAAATAAACAAACAAATAAATAAATATAAAAAGCTTTTGCTGTGAAATCACAGAGTCAAAGATTTCAACACTGAAATCCACCATTCACTTATTTATGAAACACTGGGCAGATAACTTGATCTAAATCTTTTAGCCTTTGTTTCCCTGCCTAGAAAATAGGGATATTATAATAGTTACCTCCCTTGTTGAGAATTAAATGGGACAATGTATGTGTTACGGTTTGGATCTTAAAAGTTCCCACATGCTCATGTGTTGAAGGCCTGCTCCTCAGCTGACGGCAGTACTAGGAGTGGTAGAACTTTTAGGATGTGGGGCCTAGTGGGAGGAAGTTAGGGGTATGCCCTTGAAGCAGACATTGAGATCCTGGGAACAAATGTTTAACAAAAAGGCAGTGAGACATGTTTGACTGAATGAAGGGGGTGGGGGGGAACAATAGGTAAGGTATACTAATTTTAAATAAGGGAGTAATGTGACTAGAAGGAAGTAAAGTAAAAGAAGAAAAATCAGTGATAATGCAAATGATAATTCAGGTACAAGATGGAGAATATAATCTAGGGCCATAACATTGTGGATGAAGAGTAAAGAAAGATGCAGTATTTTACTGTGAAAGCAAAACTGGTAAGATATGGTTAATGGCTAAATGACTAGATGTGAGGATGAAAAAAAGTTACAGAACAATGTTTTCCTACATTGTTCTTGTACTGACCATGTTCAACAAGATAATGGCAATTCTTACTTGGTATCTTACCTGCAGTGACATGTAGTTCTGCATATTGAATAAAGTAAGTAAGAGTAAAAAATATAGTTTATGCTGGAACCAAGAAATAAGAAGAAATACAAACAAAATTAAGGAGAGAACCATAGCCATATTCCTTATCCTCTCACCAATTTCATTGCTTATTTCCTTTCTTTTATAATCATTTATTTTTACTCTGGTTTCCCTCCTAAAATAAAAATCTTCCTCAAAACTGTATCTACTGTTACATACCATATGATCTATTCTTCCTCCCCTTAGCTATGACCCTCCATTTTACTTTCATTAGTCAACTCACTATAATCTTAACTCTTGAAAGATGACAGAAGAGTTTAAAAATTCCTATTGACTAGTGAAATGTTTGCTGTTCTTTGTGCAACTCATTGTTAAATGCATTTGTGGTAATGCTACCAGCAAACCTATTATACTGACAGTCTCATATGACTGTATAGAACATAGTATTTGTTGCTGATAATAAATGATTATGTTTTTGATTTGTGTATTTACTATATAATAGCTTTTACCATTATTTTAAGTGTACTTCTACTTACTAAAAAGTTAATATAAAATAGTGTGCCCTTACACTAGCAGCAGCCTCATGCACCTTGTATTTACTGAGTTTCTTGATTGCCAAGCCAATAATGCCATGTCAGGTAACTAACTTATACCATCTAGCTTCGCATTTTAATATACTCTATGAGGCCGGGCACAGGAGGCTCAAGCCTGTAATACTAGCTACTTAGGAGGGTGAGACTGGGAGGATTGTGGTTCAAGGTCAGTCCAGACAAAAAGTTTGAACCACCCCACTGCCAATATAATCAGAACAAAATGGACTGAAGGCATAGTTCACGTGTTAGAGCAACTGTTTTGTAAACACGAAGCCGAGTTTAAGCCACAGTCCCACCAAAAAAATAAAATAAAAAAAGCATACTCTATGACATCAACACAGGTCAAAAAAAAATCACTTCACGAGGCTGGGGGTATAGCTCAGTAGTAGAGCACATGCTTAGCATGCTCAAGACCCAGGGCTCAAGCCTCAGCACCAAACCAAACAAAAACTCACTTAACAACAACCTATTGCTACAATTACAAGGTATTCTTTTTTTTTTATTATTCATATATGCATACAACCTTTGGGTCATTTCTCCCCCCTTTCCCCATCTTCCCTGCCCCCTCCCTAACCCTCCCTAACCCATTGCTACCAGGCAAAAACTATTTTGCCCTTATCTCTAATTTTGTTGAAGAGAGAGTATAAGCAGTAATAGGAAGGACCAAGGGTTTTTGCTAGTCAAGATAAGGATAGCTATACAGGGAGTTGACTTGCACTGCTTTCCTGTACATGTATGTTACCTTCTAAGTTAATTCTTCTCAAACTAACCTTTTCTCTAGTTCCTGGTCCCCTTCTCCTATTGGCCTCAGTCGCTTTAAAGTATCTGCTTTAGTTTCTCTGCGTTGAGGGCAACAAATGCTATCTAGTTTTTTGGGTGTCTTACCTATCCTCATACCTCCCTTTACAAGGTATTCTTAACTGCTACCTAAAACATGAAGGTTCTCAAATCTTTTAACTATTTCAGACCTTTGCCTCAAGCCAAGTGCCTATTATACATATTCATGTGAACATCACACTGGTATCACAATTTCAAAATGCCCCCACATCTAATCCCTCATTTTCTATGAACCTAATAGTACAATAATCTAACATTAAAGTACAATGTAAATTCAGAAAAGCACATGTATTATAGGAAAACAAATCAATGAGCTTTCTTAAACTAAAAATACCTGTAAAACCAGCTTCCAGATTAAGAAACAAGACATTACAGTTTTCCAGAGGGCTCTTTATGCTTCTTCTGGTAGTCATCTCCTCCTTTAAGGATACCCATTATACTCTTTGTGATTATTTGATACAACCTAAGGCATTTTGCAGATGATTTTCAATGGCAAAATCAGTAAGTAAAATTGGGCAGTAGAAATATATATTTGATGCTCTTTCCCATGCTATCTATCTCTAACCTTGACAGGTATTTAAATTAGTTTGTAGATGAGAATGACAGTAGTAAAAGGAGAGTTACAATGTTTTAACAACCCAGGCTAAAAACTTTTACAAAGTTAGATTTAAAAAAAAAAAAAATTTAGGGGTTGAGTGAACCAAAGAAAAGTACACCCACAGTAAGGATACATTGAGACACCCCTTTGAGCATCAACTTAAATACTAATAACAAAAAATAGGACTGTAAAATATGTACAGTGTATGTGGGGGGGTATTAATAGGAGGAGGGAGGGTGAATGCAGGAGATTAAGGTGACAGTATATGGTAGATGGATTTCATATACCTATATGAAACAGAGCTAAGAAACTTCTCATAATTGCTTTAATTGGGGCAGGGAGGGAGACAGATGGAGGCAATAAATTAATGTACAATATAAGTCTAATCAGAATTGTCACTATGAATCCTCCCCGGTATAATGAATATATCCTAGTAAAAAAATTAAATCTAATCATTCATAAAAAACAGTTATTTTGTGAGGCTGGAGAATGACCATACATACTAGGCAATATGTCTACCACTGAGCTGCATCTCCTACAAAGTTAGAATTTGAAAGAGATTTCAGACACAATAGTTTCCTACTAAATCTTTCTAAATCCAAAATATTATCCACAACCTTTCTATTTACAAAGGGTACATTTCCATAGTAGAAAAAAATGTTGATCTCTGACATTTATAGCCAATTTTTTGTTGTTTTTATTG